CAGTGGTCCAGAAGCAGGTGAATACCTATACGACTCTTACGCCACTGGATGTGCCGCAAGTCTAGTCTTAGAAACCATTTGGTGTTGTTTGTGGTGACGAAGATGGGACTCTTGACGATACCCTGAGCTGATCCGGCGGTGGTGTCCGTGTGTGTGATGGACCACTCGTACGTGTACTTCACGTGTTGGGCGAAGTGGTTGGCCATACCTGTGTCGATGGGGTCAGAGGTTGACCGCAGTTGCAGACAATTGTCTTGAGATGAGTGTTGAGACAAACATTGCGTCAAATGTTTGGCGAAAGTGTTGTCGTGTTGTGAGCGCCGACTCATCACTGCATGCATTGGCACTCAATTTGAATGCAGTTTTCAATGTGTATCACAAATAGGCCTTAATTTGGTATTAGTTTAGAAAAGTTTAGTCAAGTTTTTATTAATAACTAGCTTTTAATTTTGAGTAAAATATGGTAGATTTTTATTTAATCAACACCAGGGTATGTATGCTGTAGTAGAAAAGGTACTTTTATGCAATTCATAACAAAACACACACAATAAGAAAGTTCACAAAGTGATTGATTTAAACCTAAATTTATTAATTTAATTGATTTAATAAAAAAAACTAAATACAAGACTAAAACTAATCCGAAGACATGGCGTCCCCTTCATCCTCATCATCAGCCCTGGGATTCAATTCATACACTTTTTCCAAACACTTCTTTGGCGGCACTCCTTTGATATCCATTAAACTCAACGCCAGTTCAGCTACTGTCTGATCCCTAATCTTATTCCCAGCCCTCAGTTGCTTCAACGCCTGTTCCCTCTGAAGCAGTTTATTATAGTACTCGACGGCGCCGTCATAATAGGCCTCCCCCTGAGCTATGGCCGCCTTGTCTGCTGAGCTCATCCACGAGTAGTAACACATCTCTCGGACCACCAAATAGCTGAATACACCGAAGGTTAGAAACACCAGCCGTAGGCCTAAGCTCTGGAAATGCCGGCGTCTAATCCTTGTGGACAGTATGATCTGTTGGGCGACCCCTATGCCAAGAAATGAGGCAAAAATGGTGGTCAGCATACCGTTGATCACGCGATCGTTGTTGCAGAGGTGTAGTTCCCGAGTGATGGCAAACTTCTTGGCGTTTTCGCTCAATACCAATGATTGGATGAGTTGTTTGAGTGCTTCGGCGGCCTCGCTGTCCGGTTCCAGTTGTTCCGCATTCACGCCGTATATGGAGATCTCAGACAACTTGATGTCATCGACGGTATTGTAGCTAAAGTTGTGCGGAAGGCCTACGATAGCGCCGCTTCTGGTGTTGAGGTCGCCAACACTGAACACCTGATTATGAGCCACAGATTTCACGGTAAATAATTGTCTCAAAGTTGATGACGATGTCTGCGAGAGACTGAGTGCACCACAAAAGTGTGATAATTTGTGTCGATTTGAATGGATTATCACACAAACAGAGTCCGAGTCTTAAACACACGTATTATTCAAAGAGTTCTTCATTTAGTGAGCCATTCATTCAAATGAAACCCAATACTTGAGACCAGAGATGGGACTCTATTCATGTGACACACCATTCAAATGAACACCAACTATGACTTCTGCCGTACACTCAGTCTCTCACTGATAGCTCAAGACATGAATGGATGCCATACTTGAGTGCCGGAGCAGAGGAAGAACTCCATGAGATCCATGAGTTTGTATTTTCTGGAGATATGCGAGACATTCCACTCCCGAAGAGCCAACTCCTCGACGCTGTCA